ATATGATTCTGATGCACTTACATAAAGGAGTATCAGCGAAGTCCTGGACAGTTATTTTAAATTCACTGATTTTTTTTAAAGCTAAGAATACTTTTTAGGGAAAGAGAATTTGTAATGTTGCAAAATGAAGCAGTAATGGTACGTCTTAACCTCAGAACGGTTAGAATCAACTTTTGGAAGTGAACAATACCTAGTCTGGCAAAACAATGAAGACCAACTCACCCTTTTGTTTATTGAGCTCCTGGTCTTGATTCCTAATAGGCAGTGACTAGAATTAAAGAAGGTGACTAATATTTGAAATGACATGGGACTGTTCTTTTCAGATAATTTGGTCTTTCTGAAGCTGTAACAGTACCAATAAATTGTTTTGCTCCCTGGACAGGCTTGAGAAGGAGAAAGCAGAAATTGAACGCATGCGAAACCTGACTGAGGAAGAGAGGAGAGCTGAGCTTCGGGCAAATGGCAAAGTCATTACCAACAAAGCTGTTAAGGGCAAATACAAGTTCTTACAGAAGTATTATCACAGGGGTGCCTTCTTCATGGTAAGAAGTGAAAAGAGAATCCAAAAATTGAGCAGTAGGAATAACTCAGAGACTCTGAATTATTTTTTCTCCTCAAGAATGTTATTTTCACTTGCCAGTGGTCAGCTTTCTCATTTGCTGTTTCCCTCTGAAGAATATAAACTCAGAGAAAAGCATCAGCAATTGGATTATAGAAGTATAATCAACTCTCTTTTGGCCCCAGCTCTCAAAAAGAGGAAATGATGTAATAGACTTTAAGAGGCAAAGTCTTGCTGTCACCCAGGCTCGGGGTACAGTGGTGTGATTATAGTTCACTGCAACCTTGACCTCCTGGGCCTGGGCTCAAACTATACACCTGCTTCAGCCTCCAGAGTAGCTGAGATCATAGGCATGCACCACCATGCCTGGCTAATTTTTTTTTTTTTTTTTTTTTTTTTTTTTTTTTTTTTGCTAATTGCTAGTTTTTCAATTTTTTGTAGAGACCAGGTCTCACTGTATGTTGCTCAGGCTGATCTTGACCTTCTGGCCTCAAGCAATCCTCCCACCACAACCTCCAAAAGTACTAGGATTACAGGCATGAGCCATCATACCCAGTTTTAGATAAACTGAAGAAATGAAATGGAGAAGTCATCTATATAGATAGTGGACTAATTAGGTCCTCCAAATAACTTAGTTGTCATTATTTCATACCTGAATAAGAAGTTTTGGTTATGTGAAAACCAAACTGCAAATTGCTTTACATTAATTCGAATTTGGGTGGTAAAAGGTTCACTTCATTCTGAACTAACAAAGTACCTAAGCGTAACTAACCAAAAGCATGGTTTATTATCTAACCATTAGGTGGAGTGCCATCATCTTTGTTCTTCATATAAAGTCTAAGGTCAAAATACCAATCTGCTAACCCTGTATGGTTTATGATTTCGTAATGTTAAAGCAGTTTGTATCAAAAAAATAGACGAGCTTTTTCAAGTGCTGTGTAGCAAATTCTAAATATCCCCACCGCAACTAAATTCCTGCCCTTCACTTTAGATGTGAGTTTAAAGTCCCAATATATCCAGCTTGTATAAAAGGCAGTAGAAAATCCAGGATTGGAGATTGGAGAGGCCTGTGCAGAGCTGAAGTCATATGAGTAAATGAACACACTGAGGGCAGAGAGAGTAAGCCAACCTTTGAGACATGTCTTTACTCAAGGAGAAAATTAGGCATACTTGCGTGCACCTGTAGTCCCAGCTGCTTAGGAGGCTGAAGAGCGAGCATCACCTGATCCTGGGAGGTCAAGGCTGCAGTGAGCAGTGGTCACACCACTGCACTCCAGCCTGGACATCAAAATGAGACCCCCCATCTCAGGAAAAAAAAATAAAAGACAGTACAACAAAGGAAAAAGAATCTCTTCAACTAGATGTAAGCTCTTGAAGAAAGGCTCAATACCCTCTGCTTTCTTTGTATCCTTCATTGTAGAGTTAAGTATGTTTGTGGTTTGAATATATAGGAAATAAAGCCACAAGATATTGATACGATTCTTCTCTACAGGATGAGGATGAGGAAGTATACAAGAGAGATTTCAGCGCTCCTACCCTGGAGGATCATTTCAACAAAACCATTCTTCCTAAAGTCATGCAGGTATGGGGAACCTTAATAACATGAAAAAGTAATGTATTGACAGATGAGGTATGGTTTGGTGGTATAACCATCATACATCTTCCCTCAGGTCAAGAACTTTGGACGCTCAGGTCGCACCAAATACACTCACCTTGTGGATCAAGATACCACCTCCTTTGACTCAGCTTGGGGCCAAGAGAGTGCCCAGAACACAAAGTTCTTCAAACAAAAGGCAGCTGGGGTACGAGATGTATTTGAGCGGCCATCTGCCAAGAAGCGAAAAACTACCTAGGGTCCAACTGCTTATTCTTCCAACTGTGGAACACAAGGGGAAGTCTCAGCATGTGGTCCTTGATTTGCCTTTTCATTATTTCCTTGGCCCTTATATCCAGCTATTGGACCTACTTTTATAATTCTGATACTGGGTAGCCCAGACTTGGAAGGTGCTTTGTGAGGTTTGGACTCATGCTGAGAAACCCACAGGGAAAACACTGTCCAGGTAGAATTAGAAGCTTCCCGCTTAAAACTATTTCTGAGAAATCTTAGGTTTTATCACTGCTGTGGTTTCCCATATTTACTTGGGACTGTTCTGAGTTTTTTTCCAGCCCTTAGCTTGGGTTAGAAAAGTGGGCATGTAAGTGAACAATGCATTACTTCTACCTTAGGTTTAGGAGTAATATACCAGGAAATCTAAGCTCATAGAAACATGTTTTCCATTTTTGCTTGGGGTCCATTTTTCTACCTGTACATACTTTTTGATCCATATATGTGTGCATGTCAAGAAATAAAAGAATCGTACACCAAAGAGATTTTTAGCATGATACTGGAAATGATGTCCAGGCTGACAAGCATTAATTACCTATTAAAGTAAAAGGTTAACACAATTGTCAGGGAGAAGGTGTTTCACATTTTGATCATTCCCTTTGATCTCAGAAACAAGCTCAGGAACTAGCCAGGCTTTAAACAGCATCTGGATTTATTCCATGAGCAAACAGTTGAGTGTCCTATGATAAAAATGAATGTAAATAATTACTATGAGGTGGTAAACACATAGAGATGAACACACTATTGTGTGGGATACAATCTAAGAATTATCCTAGAGTCAGAATGAGGGTAAGGCCTTCAAATTCTTACTGAGAAATGTTTCTAACTGCCATTTAAGTATCCATACAACAGACTCTTAGGGGCCTTTACAGTTTTATAGTTGAGGAAACTAGTTCAACAGGTATGACTTGGTCAAAGCTGATTAACCTTTTTTTTTTTTTTTTAATTTTATTTTTGGAGACCTAGTTTCACTCTTGTTGCCCAGGCCGGAGTGCAATGGCACAATCTCAGCTTACTGCAACCTCTGCCTCCTGGGTTCAAGAGATTCTCCTGCCTCAGCCTCCCAAGTGGCTGGAATTACAGGCATCTACCACCACACCCAGCTAATTTTTTTTTTTTTTTCAATAGAGATGGGGTTTCACCATGTTGGCCAAGCTGGTCTCAAAACTCCTGACTTCAGGTGATCCACCCACCTTGGCCTCCCAGAGTGCTGGGATTACATGTGTGAGCCACCGCACCCAGCCCTGATTAACCTTTAAAGTAAAAATTCTACAGTCCTAGATGACATGTAGAATGTATTATGGCTCTGAATTCAAATACTAATCAAAACCTTTCACAGGTCTTTTTTTTTTTTTTTTTTTTAATGAGACAAGAGTTTCGCTCTTGCTACCCAGGCTGGAGTGCAATGGCGCGATCTTGGCTCACCGCAACCTCCGCCTCCTGGGTTCAGGCAATTCTCCTGCCTCAGCCTCCTGAGTAGCTGGGATTACAGGCACGCGCCACCATGCCCAGCTAATTTTTTGTATTTTTAGTAGAGACGGGGTTTCACCATGTTGACCAGGATGGTCTCGATCTCTCGACCTCGTGATCCACCTGCCTCGGCCTCCCAAAGTGCTGGGATTACAGGCTTGAGCCACCGCGCCCGGCTTTTTTTTTTTTTGAAAGTCTTGCTCTGTCACCCAGGCTGGAGTGCAGTAGCACAGTCTGAGCTCACTGCAGCCTCAACCTCCCAGGCTCAAGTGAATCCACCTCAGCCTCCAGAGTAGCTGGGACCATAGAGAGGTACATGCCACCATGCCTAGCCTTTTTTTTTTTTTTTTTTTATTTTAGTAGAGATTAGATCATGCTGTGTGATGCCCCGGCTGCTCTGGAAATCCTGAGCTCAAACAATCCTCCCACCTCAGCCTCCCAAAATCCTGGGGTTACAGGCACAAGCCACCACACCTGGCCCAACCTTTGATATCTTCTAGTCTTACCATGTTCTAACCCTCAGGTACCTAAATTTTTTTTTTTTTTTTTTTTTTTTTTGGTGGAGATGAAGCCTCACTGTTGCCCAGGCTGGTCTCAAACTACAGGGCTCTCACATTATCCTCTTGCCTCATCCTCCCAAAGTGTTGGGATTACAGGCAGGAGCTACCATACCTGGCCCCTAAGTTTTTTTGTTTGTTTGTTTAATCCAAATCAAGCATGTTGTAGGTACCAAAATTCTAACTCAAGGTGGCCTATGAACTCAGTTCATAACTTACATCTACCTGTATATGGTGGTTCCTAGGCAGGGAGCTAGGCTTTTACATATTCATAAGCTATCTTGGAGACACATGCCATTGAGTACAGTAACTCTGCCAAGACTCCGTATGTACCTTGAATACTATGGAGAGCTAGTCAGGTGAATGAGACTGGCCTGCCACCTGGCATCTACACATAAGGTATTCTACACTGATTTTTCACATAGGTATGCTAAGGTTTTAATGAGTCACTTAAATTCAATTATCCCCCAACATATAAATTCCCCACAAAAAAAATATGGTATATATTGCACTTGACCCAAGATGATGGAACTGCAAAAAAAGACCAAAAAAAATTTATTGCCATAAATTAATCCAGTAGGTATATCTAAGAAAGCACGCATCAGTTGGTTAGGGCAATAAGCGCCTCTACCACATTGCCCATGTGTTCCCGCAAGCTGCGTTCTGCTGCTGCTCGAGATATCTCCATCTCAGTCATCTGCAGAAAAAAATCATGTTACATAGGTTCCCAGGCATTAATGTGCCACCAAATATACTGACTCCACTTGTTTCAGGAAACAACCCAAGTTAAGTAGAACAACCTCCCCTGCTCATACACTAGAGTTAGGCCCTACTACTCACTATCAGTTCCAGATCTTCCTTCTTGATAGTGACTTTTGCCAGTTCTTTCTCCCTGCAAATATTTAAATAGATTAGTCCTCATTCTCAACCAACACCATAAACTCCCAGGAACGGTCATTCCCAAATGTGCCCTGTAAATAAATCTTGGTAAATACTTGATTGAAAACAAAAACTCCCACTAATACTCCTTTCCCCTGAAGTCTTGGGAGCAGGCGTTGCCAGAAGGCCTTCTGCTAACTAGGGTAGTAAAGTTGTGGCGCCTAGATCTGCAGAAATTGGTGATAAAGTTGAAGAACGGTATAAAGGATTAATAATGCTTTTTATTTTTGTCTGGGGAGTGGGGAAGAAAGAACTGTTAAAGGTGGCTACCCCTGAAGACTTACCGCTCCTGTTTGGCTTTCTGCTCCCGGGACCTTCTGTCTCCAATCACAGACATGGCCTATGGGAAAGGCAGGTCTAGTTACTGCTCCGCTACCCACAATTCCTAATAATCTAAAAAGCCAGTAAAACGAGAGGTTCAGGTATGAATTCAAGATGATAAGTGTTGCCAGGTGGCAAGGACTATGTTTAATTCCATTCTATGCATGTTAGGTCCCCTTAAGCCCACTATCAAGCTTCTTTAGGCAAGAGCGGGCTCTGAGGACCGCTGTTTCCCTCGGCTCTATCCTATTGCCGCCTCCTGCCATGGGGACCAGAATCCCGTCTTAGGGTGCTGGCTTCCAGCTACAGCCTCAGAGCCTCCCTCTGCTCTCAGTCCGCCCCGACACGTTCTTGGCCAACCTTACCGTCTCCAGATTGGAACTCTGGATCTCCTTCTCCTCTGCATAGTCGGTGACCCGCTCCAAGTCCGCCGCACCGCTGTCATGTTTCCGTGGCTTCTCAGGAGGTCGCTCTGGGCCACTGGTCTCGGTCTCTAACTCCAGCTCCACATCCCCCTCGGTCGCCATATCTATTTCACCACGCCGCTGCATAAGCCCCACCCCACAGCGACTTCCGGCAACTGACACAACTTCCGCCCGGGGAGGAGGCGGGGCAGGTAGTGGGCCACACCTCCTTTCTGCTCCAGTTCTAGAAGCTTCAGTGAGGAAGGCGATTGTTTCTTCGACTTCCTTTAAGGCTTGCACAGTGTTGTCTTCTGCAAGGCCTTCTGTCATACCTAACCCGTCACCGCTCCGGCCCGCCCCACCGACATCCTTCCCCCGTCTTAACCTAGGAACAGTCACCTCACCACATAGACACGCACCCACCTCAGGGAACTCCGTTCAACCTGAATGGGTGACGTCTAATCCTAAACCAATTAAGAATGCTAATCCACAAGAGACCAGATAGACAAACAGCCCCTAATCTGGAGAGAACAGCCTGAGTGGTCCCAGTGGTGAGACCCTGAGGAGGAAACTCCTTCACAGGGCACTTGCATTTACCACATCCTGGAGGTCAGTATTGTCTTCCGGATGTCCCCATTCTGCCCACGACCCAGTGCTCAGCCCCAGCACAGTGGAAGTCCAATGGGCTGAGGAAAGAAGCAGCTGCTGCTCTCATCTGCCTTCCGTCTGGTGGACCTAAGCCTAATCCCAGGGACAAGGATGGTGGGTGCCAAGGCCGGCCCCAGCCCCAGCACCTCCCTGGGCCTGGCACAGCAGCGCAGCGGAAGCAGCAGTGTCCTAGTGAGAAGCCCCTTCTGTCAGGTGAGAGGGTGCAAAGGGGAGAGTGGCTGAAGCTGGGGAGGAAAACTTGCAGAAGCCAATAAAAACGACAGGACTCTTTTCTCCTATGTCGTTCTGGTTCTTTGCCCCTGGTGAGACGGTGCAAAGGGGAGAGTGGCTGAAGCTGGGGAGGAAAACTTGCAGAAGCCAATAAAAACGACAGGACTCTTTTCTCCTACGTCGTTCTGGTTCTTTGCCCCTGGTAATCTTAACTCTCTCCAGCCATGTTCCCTGCCCCAGGTGTTTAGGTTTAGAGAAAGGTCAGCCATCTCAAGCCTGCTTGTAATGAAATCCCTACTGAGTTGTCAGTGGAAGGCAATCCCAAATGGCTGCAACCAGCTTGAAACAGAACCTGAGTCAAAGGAAGAAAGGGGTCAGGGGAATTTTGGAATTCAACCTCCTGGGTTAACTTCACACATACATTAACGTATGGTTTTCCTCAGCAAGTCCACCTCGCCGCCTTGCATCTGCTCTACCCCCAGGTGTGCTGCTGTGGGCCTGCTCCTTGTGCCAGCTGCTGCCACTCTAGGTGGCCCTTTCTCACCACATCCACCTGCAGCCGCTTGTTCTACATCTTCCTCCATGTGGGGGCCTCAGCAATCTGCTGCCTCCTGCTGTCAAGGACAGTAGTGGAAAGGGTGTGGGGCAAGACACACAGGGTAAGTGAGAGGCCGTCAGGTTGTCAGGTGGGAAGAGATAAAAGGAAAAACCCTGACAAAGAAGAGATTTGGGTTGGGGACAGGAAACAAATGAGTGGTCATACCCCATGACAAGTAGGTACCTTTCCATGCATTATGATTTGTCCTGCCATTTCTCTCATACACACTCCCAGATCCAGATGCCCTCAGGCTTGTGTGCCCACCTGTTTGGCCTCTCTGACTGTCCAGTGCTCAGTGGTTCTGGGGCTGTGTACCGAGTATGTGCAGGAACCGCCACCTTCCACCTGCTGCAGGCTGTGTTGCTGGTCCACCTCCACTCCCCCACCAGCCCGAGGGCACAGCTGCATAATAGGTTTGTGTGTACTTTCTGGGTGGGAAGGGGACAGAGGAGGGAAAGTAGACACAAGCTGGGTAAAGGAAATTCCAGGATGAAGTAATAGCACTGTAAAAAGACAGAAAACAGGTTTAAGTCCCTGCTTCCAGTGTACTTGCTGTGTGACCTTAAGCCAGACACTTAATCCTCTTTAGGCTTCTAGTATCTAAAATGGAGATAACAGTGGGGTTATCTTTGCAATATAATCCTTTATAAACTGTAAAACATTGCCCAGATGATGTTATTTAAGTATCTTTGAGTTAGAATTTGGAATAAGGTGCAATAAGCCTGTCCCCTCATTTGGGATTGGTTCCTCAGTTGTCTCGTCTGTCTCCTTTCCTGTATTTTTGCTTGCTCTCTTGCCTTTCCCCATAGGCAGTCTTCACTCTCCTTTGCCTTTTCTCCTGAGTCTGGTTTTCTCTCTCCCTCCTAACCAGCTTCTGGCTCCTCAAGCTGCTGTTCCTGTTAGGTCTCTGTGCCCTTGCCTTCTGCATTCCTGATGAGCATTTCTTCCCAGGTAATCTCCCTCCCACACTCCTGGGAGGAGTAGGCTAAGTTTTCTAAGATGACAAGCAGGTAAGAAGAGGAGTAATGATTTGACCACATTTTTCCACTGGTTTCCACTTGCAGCCTGGCATTACATTGGCATTTGTGGAGGCTTTGCATTCATCCTACTACAGTTGGTGCTTATTACAGCTTTTGCCCATTCCTGGAACAAGAACTGGTAAGGGGCACTTAACCCTAAAGGCTCTTCCTGGGAAGGTTTCTAGTATTACTTTATGAAAAGGGCTGGGCAAAAGGCATGGCAGAGCACTGGTCCCGCAGCCTCCCACTGAGCAGTATCAAAAAAGCTTAAGAATGCGATGACTCTGTGGGCCAAGTAGGATGGAGTCACACCAGTCTTCTGGGAGCAGGGGAATAGTTGGTAATAGGTAAAAGAGTTGGAGCTCCAAGTCATTGCCCACCTTTCACCCTTAGGCAGACAGGTGCAGCTCAAGACTGCAGCTGGTTCCTGGCTGTCGTGCTGGCCACCCTAGGATTCTACAGTATGGCAGGTGTGGGAGCTATGCTCCTATTTGGCTACTACACACACCCAGCTGGCTGCCTGCTCAACAAGATGCTCCTCAGTCTGCACCTTTGCTTCTGTGGCCTCATCTCCTTCCTCTCCGTCACTCCTTGCATCCGCCTCAGTGGGTACATGCCCTACAACATTCCAGATTCTGGGGGCCTTAAAAGTGTATCAAGTTTCATTATCTCCCTAATCTCAATTATTTCATAAAAGAATCTCTGCTTCCCTACCTCCACGAGGAGACAGTAGTACAGGTGGGGGTAGGGATGGAGGAAACACCCTGTTGACTAAAGCAATGATACTCACTCCCCAGAGCAACCCCACTCTGGCCTTCTACAAGCCTCTGTCATCAGCTGCTATATCATGTATCTGACCTTCTCTGCGCTGTCCAGCCGTCCTCCAGAGAGACGTAAGGAACAGGATCTGGATTCTACGTGCTAAGACCTTTTTTTGCCCCTGCCAAATACCTAGCTCATTGTTCTTCACACCATCTCTTCTGTGTCCCTTCCCAGTAATCCTTCAAGGACAGAATCACACCCTGTGCCTGCCTGGCCTGAGTAAAATGGAACCCCAAACACCAGATACCTCTCTAGCAATGCTGAGTGCTGGCATCATGTATGCTTGTGTACTTTTTGCTTGGTGCGTAAAGCTGTAAAGCTATGAGAGGAGGGAGGGTGCCCAGGACAGGGAGAGATGGTCAGGAGAATGTCTGGGACCATAGTTTATTTCAAGTTTAGAGCAAGACTAGACTGAGAAAAGTTCCCCACAAACAGGGACAATTTCTAAGAATAGTACTTTGTCAGATGATCTGTATGAGATTAAGGAGGCGGGGGGAATGATTTAAGAATGTAAAATATGTGCAAAGATCTTAGGACTCTCACATGAATAGAATTCTAAATCTTTGGTGGAAAAGGGCACAGGGAGTACGGTACCCTCTTTTGAGGGTTACCAATATGGACCAGTTGGTAGTAAATGCCCCCAGATAATCCCTATTTAACTAGACCAGCTTAAGAACTTTCTTCTTTCTCAGCAATGAGGCCTCCTACCTGGCTGAGGTATTTGGACCCTTGTGGATTGTCAAGATTTACAGCTATGAGTTTCAGGTGAGGATAAACAGCTCAATATCCCCAAAACCCCTCCCTCCCTCACACAAAGACACACACATCCTACCAACCTCTACCCAGAATGTTCAGATTCTAGCAGCTATTACCTTTTATTGAGTACCCACAATGTGCTAGGCAACTGTGCTAGATACTTTTACATAATCTCATTTAATTTAACCCTCACAACAACCCTGTGAGGTAGGTATTTGCTCCATTTTACAAATGGAGAAATTGAGGCACAAAAGATTAAACAGCTTACCAAAGTCCGCACAGCCAGTTATATGATGGAGCTAGAATTTGAACCCAGGTGTGCCTTCACTTTTTAATACTAGACCAATCTTTTCACATGGGAAGTTTCCTAGATTAACACCTTCACATATTTTAAGACCATTCCAAAACCTGCATTCTGTTTTGCAGAAGCCCTCACTGTGTTTCTGCTGCCCTGAAAGAGTGGAGGCAGATGAAGGTGAGTGTCAAGTGAGGAGCCATAAGAAGTGGTAGATCTCTGTGGAGTGCCATAAGAACCTTCAAGAGCCTTAAAGGTAGCTGGGGGAGAGTGGAAGAGGTGTTTCAGCAGCACTGCTCCCAGCAGCCCTTTCATCTCTCCAGGACAAAGGGGTGGGGCTGCTAGGCCAGCTGACCAAGAGACCCCTCCAGCTCCTCCAGTCCAAGTCCAGCATCTTTCCTACAGCTATTCTGCCTTTCACTTCGTCTTCTTCCTTGCCTCACTCTATGTCATGGTTACTCTTACCAACTGGTTCAGGTAAGATGGAGGTGGGTCTTAGATACTCTCCTGAAGACCTAGCTATTTTACAGAAAGAGCAATTCAAGGCCATTCCAGATACACATGGGTCTGCCATTATTTTTGGTGACAAGGTAGAAAGGGTCTAAAAGCTAAGGCCCTTCATATTCTCTAACCAGAGCCTTTGGTTACACAGCTATGAGGGAGCAGAACTGGAAAAGACCTTCACCAAGGGTAGCTGGGCCACCTTCTGGGTCAAAGTTGCCTCATGCTGGGCCTGTGTACTCCTCTATCTGGGGCTGCTACTGGCACCACTCTGTTGGTCCCCCACCCAGAAATCTCGGCCCCTTATTATCAGGCGACGAAGGCGACACCGCCACTGCATCGTATCCCCAGATAATAAATATCCTCCAGCCTAAGTCCCTTTCACAAACGGGTTCCCCTAACGTTGTACTCCTAGAGTTGGCTCAAGGGGAGCTGTCCAGCCCAGCTCAATACATCAAGGATACAATGGGGAGTTATTTCCCTTTAGGCTAAAGTCAATACTATGTCTGAACTGGAAGAAGTGGTCAAACACACTCTAATGCGCTGGGCAGTGTCTGACTCACTGGAGCTACTGTTACATCTGCATCCCAGCTCAAGAGCCTAACTCCCAAACCAGCAGCTCAGGAACCACTGCTGATTTTAGCAGACAGTGTGGCACCAGCCCTTTCCTGGCTCTTGGGCTGGAAGTGGGGGTGGGGAAAGACCAACAGGGACTGAAGACAGCTCTGCCCTTGGAGAAAGGAAAATAAGCAGTTCAGCCCTGGGCACAGGGATATAAGAAGCCCAGAACCAGAGAACAAACCAGGGCATTGGAAGAAAGGAGCAGAGGCTACCCCAGGCTTTAATCCTGATCTTGAGGTCAAGGGAAGCGGGAAGACAAAAACCACCCTCATTCCATGAGGAATGACAGAAGAGAATGTTAACATTTGACAGCATCTGACCACGGGAAGTCGGTGAGCAGCAGGATTTTTTGGTCAACTTTCAAGCAGACGAACAAACTGAGGAAGAATGAGGAAGAGAGGCATAAACACAGATCTTGCAGCCTTCACTCTTAGGCCAACTCCATCCCAGAGATGGTGTTCAAGGGTGGGGAACAAAAATCACAGAAAAGAAGTCTCTGTGGTTCTCAGAGGATTCCTCTACCACATATCCGGAGTATTTGTTTGGTTGTCATTCTAATAATAAAGGCTTCTTCTGTGATGTTTCACTTATTAAGTCTACATATCCACAATCTGAGTCTAAAGACTTCTCCCTTTTTGGTGGGAAAGGGCAGTCATTCCTCCAACCCCATCCCCCCAAGTCCCCAGTCAAACCAGGCGCTCAAGGAATTACAAAGCTACTTTTAATACTTTGGGGTGAGCCCCACAGGAATAAAAAACACTGGGAAGGGGTAACCCCCTCATCCCCGGGAGTGGCCCAGGGGTAGAGAGGCTACCTGAGGGGAAGGAAGCACAAAAGGGACCCGCTGCAGACTCAGGGCAAAGGGAATGCCATCGGTGCTGGGACCTGTGAGCACTACAGGAGGAAACGCGAGCGTGGTGGGACTGGCTCCAGGCACACAGGCGAAGGGCAAGAGGGTTGGACACGAAGCCACAAAGCTACTTGGGTTCCTCCTTCTTCTCGTTTGCCTTTTTCTGCTTCTGCTGCATGATCTCCGAGTCCCTGGGGGTAGAGATGATGGGGCACTGGGAGGTACCAGAGGGCAAAAAGGACAAGATGCAGGGGGATGAAGGGCACAAAGGATAAGATGGAAGTGGATGGGACTAAGCTCAGCGTTTGGCTGCTGCATTCCCACCCTAGGAGAACAAGAGGAAGAGAGCTGAGGCTCAAAAGGCAACCAGTTTCCATCTGGCTGTTGCCCAAAGGGTCAGAAGTCTGGCGACACAGGCCCAAGGCTCTCTATTCTGTGTTGAGTACCACACCCAACACCACCAGTGAGCAGGTTGGGAGAAGGGAGGAGAATCGAACAGCAAGGAGGGCCAAAGTACTGGGCTGTCATAGCCACAACTTATTTGAAATGTGAAGCTCCCTGCCCTTGCCCTTAAGGTCAAACCCAAGCACGCTCAAAAATCAGACTGAGGGCAGTCGCCCGCCCCCGTCCTTTCCTGTAAGCCTGTAAGCTAACAATTTGGAGGCTGGGGAGGAAATAAAACCCTAGAGGAAGCAATGCACTCTGCTCCTCACGACTAGTCCAGATTCAAGCCCTGAGATAGCTCCTTCCTGCTATAACCCTCGGCCTAACCCAGGTCTCCACCGTCCCTTTCCCTCCCCTCCCTGGGGCTACCTCTGCTTGCGGGCAGCAGCAGAAAGCCCGTCATCTCGGCGCTTTCCCTTAACCGAGTCGCTCTGCTTTTTCATATTCTTCTGGCGGGCGAGCTCTCGCTGGTTACCGCCTAAGGAAAGAAGATTAAAGGTGAGACGCAGGGGCCGCTGTGCCCACACATCGGCAACCCTTGTACCCCAGTGCGGCCAGCAGCAGGATCCAACACCACTTCAATCCCCCGGCCCCGACACCGGCCACCTTCGAGGCCCAGGCTGCTTAGGGTAGGGGGGGAGTGGCGAATCTGCCACGGGCCAGGTTAAAATGCGGGGTGGAGAGAAGAGGTCCCGAGAAGCCAGCTGGAGGCGTGATTTGGGGCGGCGTGGGGCCCAAACAGCTGGCGGGGTCTGTGGGGACGGTTTGGGTCTCTGTGGGGGATGGGCTCGCTTGTGAAGTAGGGGGCTCTGGGCCTATCACAGAGGCGCTGGGCTTCTCCTCACACCGCGGAAGGTCCGGGAGGGCCTATGCTTAACGCGGAGGGGTAGTCCCGTGAAGTGGCTGTGGGCAAAAGGCTCGATTTCCGGGCACCGAGTGTGAGGGTGGCTACAGAGCGCGCCCAGAAAAAGGCCTGGCCAGGGAATCTACGGAAGGTCAAAGCTGGCGACTTGGAGGTGATGTTTAGGGTGAAGGGAAAGAAAAGGGCAAGGAGAAGGGGTCTAGATGCTCACGGGTCATGGCGACGGCAGCGGCTCCGACCTCCCTCCCTTACGTCCCCTCGTTCTGTCCGACGTTGCAGGTCCCGCCCCCTTCTCGCAACGTAACGCAGTCGTCCCTTTCCTCCCCGCCCCATCGCACCCGGACGCCGGCTCCCATTGGACAACAAAAAACACGTGGGGCCACGGGCTGTGCTAGAGCCGGGGTGGGTAAGGGACTGAGAGTCGCGGGCGGAGCGCTCAGCGTGGGGCGGGGCCTCCCGAGCTAGGCGTAGGGCCGAGCCTGGAGAAACTAGGCCGGCTCACGTGGGCAGGGTGGGGGTGGAGGGGTGCGGCTGGCGATGTGGCGCTCCCGCGGGCTCGAGCACGTGACCGGGCAGAGTGACCTCATGCTGGGACCGTTTGGGGTACTGACAAAGTCGCACTGAAGAAGCGCCGGGAGACGGAGGGTGAGGTTTAAGCCAGTTCTATGTTACGGGTACTCTACGACTAAACTTGTTCTTACTTAGGACCACCTCTCAGCCGCTTACTTGAACGTGAGTTGTTCTCAGCTCGCTTAAAATTTAGTACAAACACAACTTAAGAAACATGCTTCTAGCCGGGCGCGGTGGCTCAAGCCTGTAATCTCAGCACTTTGGGAGGCTGAGGCGGGTGGATCACGAGGTCAAGAGATCGAGACCATCCTGGTCAACATAGTGAAACCCCGTCTCTACTCAAAATACAAAAAATTAGCTGGGCATGGTGGCGCGTGCCTGTAGTCCCAGCTGCTCAGGAAGCTGAGGCAGGAGAATTGCCTGAACCCAGGAGGCGGAGGTTGCGGTGAGCTGAGATCGCGCCATTGCACTCCAGCCTGGGTAACAAGAGCGAAACTCCGTCTCGGAAAAAAAAAAACAAAAAAACAACAAAAAAAACCTGCTTCTATTCCCATTGTCCCCTTCCACGCCCCTGCCACATCTGGTATTTCCTAAAAATCTGCCCTGGTCGTTTTCCCCCAGAAACTTTAAATGTGAAGATGCAATTTGGAAATACTGGAGGACTCCAAAAGTCACAGACTATGGAGTTGGATCAGTGGCTGAGATTAGATAATGCAAAATTTATGTTCGCTTTTCCCCTCTGGACCTTTCCTCACTGTATCATCTCCACCAGCCACACCTGGTTTTGTATTAAGATCCTGGAATAAGACCAAAAGCAAAAATTAGCCAGGCGCGGTGGCTCACACCTGTAATCCCAGCACTTTGGGAGGCCGAGGCTGGTGGATCACGAGGTCAGAAGATGGCGATCATCCTGGCTAATACAGTGAAACCCTGTCTCTACTAAAAATAGAAAAAATTAGCTGGGCGTGGTGGTGCATGCCTGTAATCCCAGCTACTCAGGAGGTCGAGGCAGGAGAATCTCTTGAACCTGGGAGGCGGAGGTTGCAGTTAGCCAAGATCGCACCACTGCAGTCCAGCCTGGGTGACAGAGAAAGACGCCGTCTCAAAACAAAACAAAAACCCTGGAATAAGACAAGAAGCAAAAATTAAACTCATTCTCATTCCCAGTTCCATTAATCTGTTTACAAAAGTCTCCACCAGACCTGAGGAATTAATGGGTTAAAGGAGAAATGCTTCGGAAATATCACAGGAAAGGATTGGTTGTAGATGTTAACTTGTATCTCTCTCCAGCCAGTGCCCACAGCACAACCAAGTTGAGGCTCGAATTTCAAGCTGGCTTCACCTCAACATAGAGCTGATGGAAAGTAGTAAATCTCAGTCAGTACTATTCTCCATACCAAAGTATCTGAAAAAATATTACTAAATATTACTAAATATTTTTGTATCAGTCTTAAATAAAAGATATAAATCAAACTTCATATTTCTCTACATCACTTGCTCACAAAAAGTAAGTATAAAATGAAATACATAATTTTTTTTTTTTTTTTTTTTTTTTTTGAGACAGAGTTTTGCTCTTGTTACCCAGGCTGGAGTGCAATGGCGCGATCTCGGCTCACCGCAACCTCCGCCTCCTGGGTTCAGGCAATTCTCCTGTCTCAGCTTCCTGGGTAGCTGGGATTACAGGCACACGCCACCATGCCCAGCTAATTTTTTGTATTTTTAGTAGAGACGGGGTTTCACCATGTTGACCAGGTTGGTCTCGATCTCTCGACCTTGTGATCCACCCGCCTCGGCCTCCCAAAGTGCTGGGATTACAGGCTTGAGCCACCGCGCCTGGCTGCCTGGCTGATTTTTTATTTTTTTATTTTTCGTATTTTTAAAGAATTGGGTTTTGCCATGTTGCTCAGGCTGGTCTCCAACTCCTGAGCATAGGTGATCTACCTAGCCTCTGACCACTCTTGAAAAGAGAAATTAACAAGTGTTAAAGTGTTTAAGAGAGGCCAGACACGGTGGCTCACCCCTGTAAT